GTCAGCAAACTTACTACATCCTCAAACCTGCAACTGAAATTTAAACCTCATACTAAAAGGCACAAGCTGGTTAGGAAGTTTCTGATAGTTTTCGTCATTATTGTACTAGTTGAAATGTACATGTAATTTTTGATTTCCTGTCTCTCACTTCATTTCACAACTTTTAATTGCAGATTATATAATTACAATGTTATCATGCATGATCCAAAATGTATGGACTGTTTAATGCACTGATATTGCTAACAGCTCTGTTAACTCTTTGTTTGCTTTGTTCGCCGATTTGCACGGACGTAGGCGTGCCAACTTCGCATTTTTGCACAGATGTATACGAGTCAATTAGACATTCATAATACCGCTCGCAGTGTGTAGCCACGCGTTGCGTTTACTATTGTTTACATTGTATACATCGCACACTTTCCGGTAAACTGTTTTTCTTCATAGTGTTACATTCGAAATTACCGTGTATTTAGCGGTTTTCTTTGGATTTTTTTTACTGATGTTACGATGGCACCTGCTGGAAAACGTCAACGTGTGTTTAGTGTAGAGGAGGCTCGAGATCTTGTTACTATGGAAGCATGGAGCATGGACTCTGATTCCGACGAATCGAGCAGTGACGAAGACTCTAGTGATAAAAGTGTTCCCTGAGAGTAGACTGATAGAATAAGAATGAATAAAAATTAATGAAAGAGCTAGAGATGACAGCAAGAAAGAGAGTAGACTGATAGAATAAGAATGAATAAAAAAAATGAAAGAAGGAGATAGAGATGACAGCAAGAAAGAGAGTAGACAGTGATAGAATAAGAATGAATAAAAATAATGAAAGAAAGAGATAGAGATGACAGCAAGAAAGAGAGTAGACTGATAGAATAAGAATGAATAAAAATTAATGAAAGAGCTAGAGATGACAGCAAGAAAGAGAGTAGACAGTGATAGAATAAGAATGAATAAAACTAATGAAAGAAAGATGTATCCTGTCTTGCCGTCATCTTTATATCTTTCTTTTATTATCTTTATTCATTCTTATGCTATCAGTGTTTACTCTCTTTCTTTCCGTCATCTCTATCTTATTATTATTATCATTTTCCTATCTATAATTATGTACCCTATGTCTTGCCGTCATCTCTATATCTTTCTCTTATTATCTTTATTCATTCTTATGCTATCAGTGTTTACTCTCTTTCTTGCCGTCATCTCTATCTTATTATTATTATCATTTTCCTATCTATATGTACCCTATGTCTTGCCGTCATCTGTATATCTTTCTCTTATTATCTTTATTCATTCTTATGCTATCAGTGTTTACTCTCTTTCTTGCCGTCATCTCTATCTTATTATTATTATTATTTTCCTATCAATATGTATCCTATGTCTTGCCGTCATCTCTATATATTTCTCTTATTATCTTTATTCATTCTTGTGCTATCAGTGTTTACTCTCTTTCTTTCCGTCATCTCTATCTTTTTATTATTATCATTTTCCTATCTATATGTACCCTATGTCTTGCCGTCATCTCTATATCTTTCTCTTATTATCTTTATTCATTCTTATGCTATCAGTGTTTACTCTCTTTCTTTCCGTCATCTCTATCTTATTATTATTATCATTTTCCTATCTATATGTACCCTATGTCTTGCCGTCATCTCTATATCTTTCTCTTATTATCTTTATTCATTCTTATGCTATCAGTGTTTACTCTCTTTCTTTCCGTCATCTCTATCTCATTATTATTGTTATTTTCGTATCAATATGTATCCTGTCTTGCCGTCATCTTTATCTCTTTCTCTTATAATCTTTATTCACAGTAAAGTCCTTTCATTTCATATCACTATTTCTCTCTCATAATGTCTCTCACGTCCGTTCTCCATATTTTATTCATTGCATACTCCACTCGTCAATCATTTCTGATAATAAGCTCTCTCACAAAGTAAATGGAAAACAATGCAATATAGTTTATATTTTAAGATTGATTCATTCTTTCTTTGTATATCTATGGCTGTGATAAATGTACTTGAAATCAATTTTATTGAGGGGTAAAGAAGGTGAGAGAACAGATGCGGTGAACATTCATAATGAGACATTTCAATAAGATGCTGATTATGTCATGTATATCACATATAATATATTATGCCTATACCATTTTTACATGCTCATACCAGTGGGCAAAATCAATAACATTCTCTTATTTCTTATTGACTTATCATGGCACAACAAAGAAAAACATCCCCATGACGTCCCTTTTCATGCCCCGCTAAACCGGACATTGACAATAACCTGGGGTAATAGGGATTTCAATGGGCAGATTAGCCCATTGTCAAGGGTGGCTGAGCGGGGTACTTTCAAGTCTCTCCCTATTGAACTTCTTTTCTTCAACAACCTAAATACTAACCTTCTGAATTGTTAGAATACTTGAGCAAGGTATGTAAAGAAAGGTAAGAAGTCCACCTTTCTAATAGATTCGATTTGAAGATGTCTTATCATTGCTAAATAAGAAATTCTAGAGGGATAAAAAACTGCCGTAAATAAGAAAAATTAAACATTATATAATTATGATTATTATAAAAATGATAATTCAAAATATAACAAATGACGGTTCATCGAAAAGCACGTTTTCCGGTCTACAACTTTGCTGCACAATATTTTTCATCATGATCATCCAGTGAAGAGTTATAGCCTCTTGATTCAGCAGAGTCAATAAAGATTCCCTCGAAATGTGTGACCCTAAAAGAATGTGGCACAGGGGGGTTTTTTAAGTGGCGCATAAAGAGTTAAGTCATTTATAGAACTTTATTTAAATATTTGTAAGTCCAGACATGATTCTATGTTTTATGTGACCATGTCATATAAAACAAAGATTCTACAATTAGCTAACACTATTGACTACAATTCATAATTGCTAATTTTGTTGGGGGATTTATTAATTGCCCCTGCCCCTTGTGTCTCCCCCATCACCCAGCCCAACCCTTCCCTGTTCACTGTCCTTTCAATCATTACGAACAAAGATAAAATGTAAGTAGAGAAAAGCGTTTCAATTGCAAGGTCAAATCTGACACATATGCGGCAATGACGATGCACATTAAACGTATCATCAGCGAACTGACCTGTGCATATTGTCCAAAATGCTAAATATCAAAGGATGAACTTTGCTACGCTGTAGCTTTTTTTTACATAAAAAGCAATAAACCTGTTCATTTTCAGATCAAATTTAACTAATAAAAGGAAAGTTTTCTATATATTTTTAATTCTTCAGTTTCAAAAGTTGTTGAAATATGGAGAAATATGTTATTTAGTGCAATTCATACTTTTGGAAAAAATCTTAAGAAATCATTTTTTAATTGGCCCAAAATTGGTATGTAAAAAGTAAATTCAATCATCATAAATGTGGTATCATCGAGTAGATAGTTTAATTTCCTTTTGGATGATACCACATACATGATAAAATAATGTTCTGTTACAAAATTATCTTCTAACTATTGACTATTTTTCTTCCAACAAAATATTGTCAAGGGAGTCCACCTAGAAATTGTGCAGGGAGGTCCCCTGAACACATTCATACCGACCGACCTTTTGCAACATCCCATATAATATCTCAACCTCCCCCCCCCCCCCCCCCCAAAAAAAAAGAAGGGTTTTGCCCCCTAGGTATCCAGCTATTTTGTTGTTGCTTGTTGGTATTATGTCTTCATTTAACAGAACTATAGTACATACAAATTATTTAAAACATAGCAGGCCATATAATACGAGCCACAAAGCAAAATTATGGTAAGGAATGTATATGTTCTCAAGCTAGACCACTTTCATGTACAATATAACGTCTATTATTATCATCATCATAATCATTTTACGCTTGTAAATAAAATGATCATGCTTTAAACTATCTAATAGAATATTATCTTTAGCAATGCTGGTCTAAATCTTTGAATTACAATGAAAAGGTGCTATACTGAATATTTTACTGAAAAGATTTGCATTTAATTCACATACCTCTAAAATACAGTAGAATCACTGCAATTCCCTCCTACGCTCAGGACTTCCTGATCTTCCTCTTACTAACATCTTCAGTATGGTCATCTCCTATTATCCATCCCTGACTCTTGTCAAAGGACTTACATTTTCATCCACTTTTGATCTTACTAACTATGATGTACATAAAAATTACCTGAAGGTGCTAAGTATTTTCCAACATATAAATAATACACATTCTATGTGTCTGATTTAACTTATAAAAGTAAATAAAGGATGCAGAAACTACTCTTGAGCAAATGAACACAAGCCCCAAAAAGAATCTTTCAATGATGTGGTCTCTCACCACATGTTTACAAACTTCCACCCCCTCCCTTTCATCTGCCAGCGTTGAACCTATGTCAGGTTCTGTACAGATCCAGACTCTCTGTCTTCATGATGTTGAGTGCCCCACACCAGCCTCATCTCATGATGACAGCTAGTACACACAAGTTATATAAAGAGGAACATACATGTCGATCTAGAAGTATATGTAAATAAATGGAGTTGAAAATCCATTTGGCAAATTAACGTAACCTTCATATTATAGTTACGTTCAAGATGAGCTGGGTTTTACTCAGCATACTGTGTTTTGTTGATAAATATTTTAGATGGATGCATTTACTCTGATGAATATGCAGTAATGAAATGTACTATGGCTGTAACAATAAAAGTCAGTCCTATTCTTTTACAATGCATGCTCTGATGACAATTTTCTGCGCCCGCTACCCTGAACTAACCAAATTTTGAACTTAACCCTGCACCAAAATCTATACCTAACTGAAACGCTAAACCTAAGCTCAAGCCTATTTGCAGGTCTCATCCAAATCCTATATATATATATATATATGTGTGACTAACAAAAGCCCAGAGCATTTGTCACCTCAGCATAGCCATACACATACATGTATATCAGAGCACCCAGTTAAATTTGCAGTAATTCAATGAAAACGTGTACTCTGGTAATGTACTTGTATGAATCACTGTTTGTATACATGTAGGTCAAGACTGTCTGGCTTAGAAATGTTAGGTGTCCAACAACAGCCTCTTCACATTACCTAGCAGATGCTTTGTGTTCCATGCCAAACCTGACTGACCTACAACTATGGGGAAAGGAGTTCAAGGAGGAGTTCTATTCTACACTGAATGCAAAGGCGTCAACCTTACAGGTGTGTATGTGTGTTTGTACTCTATATCCATGCCATGATGAATTCAGGTACACATGCAGCAGTGGAGATGAATTTAAGGAGTTATGATATTTTAGCAACATGCTGTCAATATTTTGTCAACGTGTTAATTTTTGTATATGACAATGTATAATAGTCTTAGCAGACAAAGGAACAGTATTATAAAAAGAGGGGTTTTCATGTGCAGTGTAAGATACAAAATTCAGATGGCTCGAGTTAAAAATATGATGTTCTGCAAAAAACATCACTTTTAAAGGATTGCCTCAGAAAAGATATTTTGGTTTAATGAAGACTAACTTAAAGTTTTTAAGTAAGCTTTTTGGGGGGATGGAGAGTGTCATGTCGCTACTTATGCAGTAAAACAATTTCAGTATAAACAGATTACGGAAGTACTCTAAAGACTAGTGGATACAAATAATTTTGTTTGTAATTTTCATATTTTTAAGTTCAGAGCAATTCATATAGTGGGAATTATATCCTCATGGGTCTGAAAGTAGTATCTTAGTATACTTCAAGTTCAGATTCAATACTCACTAAACAAGAATGAAGATCTAGATCACAGTACTTATTTTAAGCAAATCTACATGTACACACTCTACATACACATTCATGTATAATGCATTCATTTAGTCACAAATGTATTATAACAGTAAGGCAATGTCAAAAATGTGTCTAAATAATCAAAAAAGTGATAGCTTCTTCTTTGTTTTATATTTAATTCTCCAAAGACAAATACATCTCTATTTATTAAAATCAGTTACCCGTTTATGGGTATTATACATTCTAAAAAAATTGTTATCAACCATTGTTCATGTAGAGGTGTTCGTGGTCTATTGGATAGGTCACTGTATGGACAGGAACCATGAGGTATGGGGTTCGAATCCCTGCCATACGTAGCACTCATGTTGTTTGGCAAGACATTAATCTACATTTGCCAAACTTGTCCTAGGTGAAGTAATATAAGTGGGTACCTGTTAGGATATATTCCTTGAATGCATCACTATGTAGTATGAAGTAAGAAAATGCACTACGTCTGTATAATTTTTCTATCCTCCTGTTGTTTAATGCATATGCCCCATCAACAATTTTTCTGTGCTTTCCATCCTGTACTATCCAAATTCTTAACTTGATCCCTGCACCAAAAAGTATTCCTATCACTAAACCTGAGCTCAAACCTATTTGTAGCCCTTATCCAAATCCTATATTTGACTATATAAAGCCCATTGCATTTGTCACCCAAGCATAGCCATACACATACATGTATATCAGAGCACCCAGTTATATTTGCAGTAATTCAATGAAAACGTGTACTCTGGTAATGTACTTGTATGAATCACTGTTTGTATACATGTAGGTCCACACTGTCAGGCTTGATGATGTTAGGTGTCCAACAACAGCCTCTTCACATTACCTAGCAAATGCTTTGTGTTCCATGCCAAACCTGACTGACCTACAACTATGGGGAAAGGAGTTCAAGGAGGAGTTCTATTCTACACTGAATGCAAAGGCGTCAACCTTACAGGTTTGTATGTGTGTTTGTACTCTATATCCATGCCATGATGAATTCAGGTACACATGCAGCAGTGGAGATGAATTTAAGGAGTTATGATATTTTAGCAACATGCTGTCAATATTTTGTCAACGTGTTAATTTTTGTATATGACAATGTATAATAGTCTTAGCAGACAAAGGAACAGTATTATAAAAAGAGGGGTTTTCATGTGCAGTGTAAGATACAAAATTCAGATGGCTCGAGTTAAAAATATGATGTTCTGCAAAAAACATCACTTTTAAAGGATTGCCTCAGAAAAGATATTTTGGTTTAATGAAGACTAACTTAAAGTTTTTAAGTAAGCTTTTTGGGGGGATGGAGAGTGTCATGTCGCTACTTATGCAGTAAAACAATTTCAGTATAAACAGATTACGGAAGTACTCTAAAGACTAGTGGATACAAATAATTTTGTTTGTAACTTTCATATTTTTAAGTTCAGAGCAATTCATATAGTGGGAATTATATCCTCATGGGTCTGAAAGTAGTATCTTAGTATACTTCAGATTCAATACTCACTAAACAAGAATGAAGATCTAGATCACAGTACTTATTTTAAGCAAATCTACATGTACACACTCTACATACACATTCATGTATAATGCATTCATTTAGTCACAAATGTATTATAACAGTAAGGCAATGTCAAAAATGTGTCTAAATAATCAAAAAAGTGATAGTTTCTTCTTTGTTTTATATTTAATTCTCCAAAGACAAATACATCTATATTTATTAAAATCAGTTACCCGTTTATGGGTATTATACATTCTAAAATAATTGTTATCAACCATTGTTCATGTAGAGGTGTTCGTGGTCTATTGGATAGGTCACTGTATGGACAGGAACCATGAGGTATGGGGTTCGAATCCCTGCCATACGTAGCACTCATGTTGTTTGGCAAGACATTAATCTACATTTGCCAAACTTGTCCTAGGTGAAGTAATATAAGTGGGTACCTGTTAGGATATATTCCTTGAATGCATCACTATGTAGTATGAAGTAAGAAAATGCACTACGTCTGTATAATTTTTCTATCCTCCTGTTGTTTAATGCATATGCCCCATCAACAATTTTTCTGTGCTTTCCATCCTGTACTATCCAAATTCTTAACTTGATCCCTGCACCAAAAAGTATTCCTATCACTAAACCTGAGCTCAAACCTATTTGTAGCCCTTATCCAAATCCTATATTTGACTATATAAAGCCCATTGCATTTGTCACCCAAGCATAGCCATACACATACATGTATATCAGAGCACCCAGTTATATTTGCAGTAATTCAATGAAAACGTGTACTCAGGTAATGTACTTGTATGAATCACTGTTTGTATACATGTAGGTCCACACTGTCGGGCTTAAAAATTTTAGGTCTCCAACATCAGCCTCTTTACATTACGTAGCAGATGCTTTGTGTTCCATGCCAAACCTGACTGACCTACAACTATGGGGAGAGGAGTTCAAGGAGGAGTTCTATTCTACACTGAATGCAAAGGCGTCAACCTTACAGGTGTGTATGTGTGTTTGTACTCTATATCCATGCCATGATGAATTCAGGTACACATGCAGCAGTGGAGATGAATTTAAGGAGTTATGATATTTTAGCAACATGCTGTCAATATTTTGTCAACGTGTTAATTTTTGTATATGACAATGTATAATAGTCTTAGCAGACAAAGGAACAGTATTATAAAAAGAGGGGTTTTCATGTGCAGTGTAAGATACAAAATTCAGATGGCTCGAGTTAAAAATATGATGTTCTGCAAAAAACATCACTTTTAAAGGATTGCCTCAGAAAAGATATTTTGGTTTAATGAAGACTAACTTAAAGTTTTAAGTAAGCTTTTTGGGGGGATGGAGAGTGTCATGTCGCTACTTATGCAGTAAAACAATTTCAGTATAAACAGATTACGGAAGTACTCTAAAGACTAGTGGATACAAATAATTTTGTTTGTAACTTTCATATTTTTAAGTTCAGAGCAATTCATATAGTGGGAATTATATCCTCATGGGTCTGAAAGTAGTATCTTAGTATACTTCAGATTCAATACTCACTAAACAAGAATGAAGATCTAGATCACAGTACTTATTTTAAGCAAATCTACATGTACACACTCTACATACACATTCATGTATAATGCATTCATTTAGTCACAAATGTATTATAACAGTAAGGCAATGTCAAAAATGTGTATAAATAATCAAAAAAGTGATAGTTTCTTCTTTGTTTTATATTTAATTTTCCAAAGACAAATACATCTATATTTATTAAAATCAGTTACCCGTTTATGGGTATTATACATTCTAAAATAATTGTTATCAACCATTGTTCATGTAGAGGTGTTCGTGGTCTATTGGATAGGTCACTGTATGGACAGGAACCATGAGGTATGGGGTTCGAATCCCTGCCATACGTAGCACTCATGTTGTTTGGCAAGACATTAATCTACATTTGCCAAACTTGTCCTAGGTGAAGTAATATAAGTGGGTACCTGTTAGGACATATTCCTTGAATGCATCACTATCTAGTATGAAGTAAGAAAATGCACTACGTCTGTATAATTTTTCTATCCTCCTGTTGTTTAATGCATATGCCCCATCAACAATTTTTCTGTGCTTTCCATCCTGTACTATCCAAATTCTTAACTTGATCCCTGCACCAAAAAGTATTCCTATCACTAAACCTGAGCTCAAACCTATTTGTAGCCCTTATCCAAATCCTATATTTGACTATATAAAGCCCATTGCATTTGTCACCCAAGCATAGCCATACACATACATGTATATCAGAGCACCCAGTTATATTTGCAGTAATTCAATGAAAACGTGTACTCTGGTAATGTACTTGTATGAATCACTGTTTGTATACATGTAGGTCCACACTGTCGGGCTTAAAAATGTTAGGTGTCCAACAACAGCCTCTTCACATTACCTAGCAGATGCTTTGTGTTCCATGCCAAACCTGACTGACCTACAACTATGGGGAAAGGAGTTCAAGGAGGAGTTCTATTCTACACTGAATGCAAAGGCGTCAACCTTACAGGTGTGTATGTGTGTTTGTACTCTATATCCATGCCATGATGAATTCAGGTACACATGCAGCAGTGGAGATGAATTTAAGGAGTTATGATATTTTAGCAACATGCTGTCAATATTTTGTCAACGTGTTAATTTTTGTATATGACAATGTATAATAGTCTTAGCAGACAAAGGAACAGTATTATAAAAAGAGGGGTTTTCATGTGCAGTGTAAGATACAAAATTCAGATGGCTCGAGTTAAAAATATGATGTTCTGCAAAAAACATCACTTTTAAAGGATTGCCTCAGAAAAGATATTTTGGTTTAATGAAGACTAACTTAAAGTTTTTAAGTAAGCTTTTTGGGGGGATGGAGAGTGTCATGTCGCTACTTATGCAGTAGAACAATTTCAGTATAAACAGATTACGGAAGTACTCTAAAGACTAGTGGATACAAATAATTTTGTTTGTAATTTTCATATTTTTAAGTTCAGAGCAATTCATATAGTGGGAATTATATCCTCATGGGTCTGAAAGTAGTATCTTAGTATACTTCAGATTCAATACTCACTAAACAAGAATGAAGATCTAGATCACAGTACTTATTTTAAGCAAATCTACATGTACACACTCCACATACACATTCATGTATAATGCATTCATTTAGTCACAAATGTATTATAACAGTAAGGCAATGTCAAAAATGTGTCTAAATAATCAAAAAAGTGATAGTTTCTTCTTTGTTTTATATTTAATTCTCCAAAGACAAATACATCTCTATTTATTAAAATCAGTTACCCGTTTATGGGTATTATACATTCTAAAATAATTGTTATCAACCATTGTTCATGTAGAGGTGTTCGTGGTCTATTGGATAGGTCACTGTATGGACATGAACCATGAGGTATGGGGTTCGAATCCCTGCCATACGTAGCACTCATGTTGTTTGGCAAGACATTAATCTACATTTGCCAAACTTGTCCTAGGTGAAGTAATATAAGTGGGTACCTGGTAGGATATATTCCTTGAATGCATCACTATGTAGTATGAAGTAAGAAAATGCACTACGTCTGTATAATTTGTCTATCCTCCTGTTGTTTAATGGATATGCCCATCAACAATTTTTCTGTGCTTTCCATCCTGTACTATCCAAGTTCTTAACTTGATCCCTGCACCAAAAAGTATTCCTATCACTAAACCTGAGCTCAAACCTATTTGTAGCCCTTATCCAAATCCTATATTTGACTATATAAAGCCCATTGCATTTGTCACCCAAGCATAGCCATACACATACATGTATATCAGAGCACCCAGTTATATTTGCAGTAATTATAATGAAAACGTGTACTCTGGTAATGTAGTTGTATGAATCACTGTTTGTATACATGTAGGTCCAAACTGTCTTGCTTGGAGGTGTTAGGTGTCCAACATCAGCCTCTTTACATTACCTAGCAGATGCTTTGTGTTCCATGCCAAACCTGACTGACCTGACACTTTGGGGAAAGGATTTCCAGGAGTTCTGTTCTACACTGAGTGTAAAGGCGTCAACCTTACAGGTATGTATGTGTGTTTGTACTCTTTATCCATGCCATGATGAATTCAGGTACACATGCAGCATTGGAGTTGAGTTTAAGGAGTTTTTATGCCTCAGTTACGAAGTAGCCGGAGGCATTATGTTTTCGGGTTGTCCGTCCGTCTGTACACACGTCTATATGTACGTACGTCCCGTTCTCGTGATCACGTTATCTGAAGAACCGATTGATGGATTCCTGCCAAACTTTGGTCATGTATGTATCTTGCAGAGCCGATGAACTGATTAGATTTTGGGGTCACGAGGTCAAAGGTCAAAGGTCACAGGGCTCATTATGTATGCAAAAACAGCTCGTGATCGCGTTATCTGAAGAACCGATTGATGGATTCCTGCCAAACTTTGGTCATGTATGTATCTTGCAGAGCCAATGAAATGATTAGATTTTGGGGTCGCGAGGTCAAAGGTCAAAGGTCACAGGGCTCATTATGTATGCAAAAACAGCTCGTGACCACGTTATCTGAAGAACCGATTGATGGATTCCTGCCAAACTTAAGTCATGTATGTATCTTGCAGAGCCAAGGAACTGATTAGATTTTGGGGTCACGAGGTCAAAGGTCAAAGGTCACAGGGCTCATTATCTATGCAAAAACAGCTCGTGATCGCATTATCTCAAGAACCGATCGATGGATTCCTGCCAAAATTAGGTCATGTATGTTACTTGCAGAGCCGATGAACCGATTAGATTTTGGGGTCACGAGGTCAAAGGTCAAAGGCCACAGCGCACATTATGTATACAAAAACAGCTTGTGATCGCGTTATCTCAAGAGCCGATTGATGGATTCCTGCCAAAATTAGGTCATGTATGTTACTTGCAGAGCCAATGAACTGAGTAGATTCTTGGTTTATAAGGTCAAAGGTCAAAGGTCATGGGCTCATTATGTATGCAAAAATAGCTTGTGAACGCATTCTCATTAGAACTGACAGATGGATTACTATTTAACTCAGGACATCTTGCAGAGCCAATGAACTGAGTAGATTTTAGGGTCATGAGGTCAAAGATCAAAGGGTCATATATGTATATGAGAAATTGCTTGTAATCACGATATTCTGAGAACCTGTTAAGGAATTACAATTGAACTTGAATTCGAAAAATTTCTTCTGTTTTGGTTTGTAATATTGCTCTATGACGGAGGCATCATTTTCGACTGCGCGCAGCGCGCAGTCGAATTCCATCTATTTTTTTGGGGGGGGGGGGGAGAGTGTTGTGTTACTAGTTACGCAATAATACAATTTCAGTATAAACAGATCACTGAAGTACTCTAAAGACTAATAGATACAAATAGTTCAAATCAATTCATAAGGTTTGAATAATGTCATCATGGGTCTGAGAGTATACGTCAGATTGAATAGTCACTAAACAAGGATGGAGATCTTGATCACAGTGTACTTATTTTAAGCACAGTTTTTGTTTTTGTTCTTGATGTTTTGGACAGGTGCATGATAAGGGAGGAGGTGTCAGCATAAAGTTCTGTTGAAATATTGACCAGTTCAATCAACATAGCTTTTTTGTATGTGTGTGTATTTGGTGGGGAGGGGCGGTGTATAAGAGGTGTCAGTGTAACAAGGACACTAAGTCTATATGCCAGAGAGAGTACTGACCTGGTATGTACATGTATGGTATAGTATTTCAGCCAGACTTGAATGGAGGAAAACTACATGAATCACTATCACCAAGCATGCCCATACATTTCTTTTCAGGATTCTTTTCCTCAAATCAGTAATGGAAATTTCATGTTCAATGGAGAGTACCAAGCGGATTTTGATTCATTCCTGCAGTCACTCACTGACTTTTGACGGTAAGTGAACTATTAAACATAATGAAGTACAAATTAATTTTATTGCTATACAACTTACTCCTAGATCCTAATCAAATGATTGGTTAAGCAGGGTCATGTATGATTCCTTTACTGTGAATATCACATGTTTTTCCATGAAAAGCATACTATAGTTTCTAGTACTATTTAACGATCTTTCCACAGCAGGGCATGTATAGTTTATATGCTTTATATACTGTGTGTGGATTAATACATGTATATCACTGTGCATTGATGCTTGTAGAGGTAAGATTCAAGATTCAAGATTCAAGATTCAAGATTTTATTGTCCATAATATAATACAGAAATTTGTTTTCCATTGGTATAACATGTAATACATAAAACATGTGCTGAAAACCAGAAGGGCGTCAAGACTCTATAAGAAAAAGTCTATGAGCAGGTACGGTCCTCCGGCTTTCAGCACAAAACATGACAAGACAGTTATATGACTTATACATAGCAAGAATTTTAAATACAATTCTAAATCACATCATGAATAAATTCAGGTATGAATATAGATGTGAAGATGAAAGTAGAATAGGAGCAGCATCACAATCGAAATATGAGCAGTAAGTGCCCCTATCCCTGTGCGCGCGCTAAATTAAGCCTATAAAACTTGGGTTTATTTATCAACGATGATTACTAAGAACAATCTTGAAAGTCTCTTTAAATCAAATAACAAGGATCTAGGATATTTTTCGTATAAAAAAAATGATGGATGTTTTATTCGTTCATTACAGGATCTATCTGCTCTTGTTGAGGCCGGCTAGGCACCTATCCTATTCAGCCTGACGGCTGTGAACAATATATACAAGTGTCCCCAATAAACATATGTTTTAGTTTTCTTGGGTTGTATTCTGTGCACTATACTTTATTACGTCTGCTACATTCAAAAAGTGAAAATTATGTTAGTTATCATTAATTGAGGTTGCATGGAATGGGTCTAATTGTAGGTGTTGGTGCAGATTTATCTCTAAACTGTACAAATACATAGCCAGCTTTACATAGAAATTCTCGCTATCGCCAATATGCCCAAAATGCACAGATGAAGCCTCTCTGAAGTAACTTTGAGCCGATGTACATAGGTACGTCTCTGAAAGCTACATTTAGGTTCTTTATTTTTGGTAACGGCAGCAATGACAAACAAGAGAAAGATCCTCCAAATCTTATCGATGTCTAGATTAAAACAATGGAAGGACCTTCTTGAAACTTCAAGAAAATGACGGGCTTAACTTTAGAATATCCCACCAGAATGGAGTGTGTCCATTGGTCGTCTAAAAAGCCAATGAACCCTTTAATGTAGTTACATCCTTTAATATTTCAGACAAGGTTTCACTCTTGCCAATGAACATAACCAAAGAAAGGTGACATTATTATTTCTACGCTTCTACTTGCTCTTTCCAATCACACCACCAAATATGTTAATTTTAGTATGTGTAAAATATTTTCATACGTTTTTACGTAATGATCCAGTCTTGAAATCTTTGAGAATCGTGACAAATCACTGTGAGTACTGTCAGAAAATAAAGTACACACACACACAATCACACCTGGTGTGCACAGCACAGCTGTGCGAAATAGACCGGAAGTGACTTGGTCACCAAACTATACTAGATTGCATTTGAAACGGGGCCTAGATGTAACATGCTGGTATTTGTAATATATTGGTGATATCAAGAAATAATCAACGATTTTTCTTATTTATCTTTATTTATCTTTATGTAACAGGAAACAGTTTTTCACTAGCATAACAATTTTAGAATACCACCTCAGGCTTCTGGTGCCTAGGCCCTGTAACATTGAAAGTTACCATTAATATTATCCCAAATCTTGTTTGTACATGCATCTCCTTCAATAAATTGGAACATAATAAATAATAGCAACTTACCACTGCCTTTATGTTACAAGTAAATACAATGATTAATAAGAAAAAATTAATTTCAGCAAAACAGATTTTTACAATTGATTGGATTGTTAGTCACTTCATATTACAGGGCAAAGAACCTATCCCCCCCCCAAAAAAAAAACAAACACCTATATTTCATCTTCTTTCCTCAACATCAATTCAGGAGAAAGCGGTTGGCTCAGACCTGAAAGACATGTTAAATCGCCTCTTCGATGGTGAGAATGACCTATGATGCACATCACAGCAATCAGAATACCTTCGAGGGCCACACAATGGCAGTGTACAACCATCCAGATCGCACAGCTAGATTATGTGCTGCTCGATCGTATAAAACTATCTCCAAGACGGTTGTACGACACTTGCTACTGTGACAGTTGTTCTGCGTCGGTTTCCTACACTAACCAAAATTCCAACTTCAACCTCAGACCTTACATATTACTTTAAAGATAAAGTTATAATATATAACAAGAGTAAATGAAGCAGCAACCATGTTGTACTCAATTGTATGCATTCTGTTCAGGTTCACACAAGTTGGGTATACACAGTTGGGCCCCGAAAGTTTACATGCACCTGGAAAAACTCATTTTACTCAAATTTTCTCAGCTGCACTCATTCCTATCTGGAGTCACTTATCTCAGAGTGACTAGTGATGTACTATATATATATATTAAACAGATACCATATTTGTCTATCTTCCTGAAGAGAAAAGTTGGCAGGAATGTATGTACAATTCAGGGATTATTCCAGTACTTGATTATGTTTTTGTTTTTTCTTTGTCTTCTTCTATTTTTAACTATCAGTAGATGTGTACCAAGTTTTGTGTGCCTTATGCTTTGTATATACTATGAACAGAGACATAATTTGTCTATCTTCCTGAAGTGAAAATTTGGCAGGAATGAGTGAAATAGTGATAATGTATACCAGGCCCAACTGGACATGTATGTACAATTCAGGGATTATTCCAGTACTTGATAATGTTTGTTTTTCTTTGTCTTCTTCTATTTTTAACTATCAGTAGATGTGTACCAAGTTTTGTGTGCCTTATGCTTTGTATATACTATAAACAGAGACATAATTTGTCTATCTTCCTGAAGTGAAAATTTGGCAGGAATGAGTGAAATAGTGATAATGTATACCAGGCCCTACTGGACATGTATGTACAATTCAGGGGTTATTCCATTACTTGATAATGTTTGTTTTTCTTTGTCTTCTTCTATTTCAACTATCAGTAGATATGTACCAAGTTTTGTGTGCCTTAATGCTTTGTATATGCTATAAACAGAGACGAAATTTGTCTAATTTCCTGAAGTGAAAATTTGGCAGGAATGAGTGAAGTAGTTTCTATCTGGCCCAACTCTACATGTATGTACATCTACAATTCAGGGATTTTTTTCAGTACTTGATGTTTTTGTTTTTTCTTCAAGTCATCTTCTTCCTTTTTTAACTATCAGTAGATGTGTACCAAATTTTGAATGCCTTATGCGTTGTATATACTATAAACAGAAATAGAATTTGTCTATCTTCCTGAAGATAAAAGTTGACGGGAATGAGTGATATTTATATTTAATTCAGGGATTATTCCAGTACTTAATAGGATTGTTGTTGTTTTTCTTCTTCCGTTCGTTTTAACTATCAGGCCTCTGATTAGATGTGTACCAAGTTTTGTGTACCTTATGCTGAAGGCCTTATCGTTTGATCTTATAGTTTTCAAGTTTACAACCTTGTATTTATATGATATGCAAAGAATACCAAATTAACTGAAATTGAAATTTCATTACATTTGAAATATGTTCATAACAATCATGTTTGTGCTTACCATGTTTATGTGTACGGAGTATGTGCCAAAGATTAAAGTATTTCTTGTATTTCTTATTCTGAATCTGAATTTAGTATTTATTAATAAGGTTTGAATCCTGAGGGAGAGTGGGTGGGAGGAAGGGGAGGACGGGAGAGGGAGAGATTAGAGTGGAAGATAGAGGGAGGAAAGAGAGTGAGGGGAGGATCAAGGGAGGAAGGGAGAGAGAGAGATGAGGTGCATGAGAGTGGAAGATAGAGGGAGGGAAGAGGGTGAGGGGAGGATCAAGGGAGGAAGGGAGAGAGAGAGATGAGGTGCATGAGAGTGGGAGATAGAGGGAGGGAAGAGGATGTATAGATGTGTAGGGAAAGAGATGGAGGGGGTATCAATTTACAGTGAATGAGAGAAGAAAGGGGAGGTTTAGAGCATATGATACGAGCGTTGGAGATGTAGAGATTAGAGATGGATAGCCAGTGTAAATATCATATCCTTAATACAGGAGTTACATACTAGTTATACTTAGGAGGCTTAAAATGACAATAGTTACAACCAGGTTATGTGCTCTAAGAGAGCGCTATCAAAGCTCTTCATTTACTACATGTATTTTCACTGTTACAAGTCTACCACAAGGTGGCGCTATTTCACTGTTGACTTCAGGATACATTGACTCATCTCGTTACAGCCAGTATGTACCAGTAAGAGGGAAGAAGGAGAGAAAGAGGGGAGGCTGTAGAGATGTTCAAGTAGATAGCTAAATAGACAATGGGACAAGCTTGAAAGATAGATTTAGAGCATAAGAGAGGTAGAGATATAGATCAAGATGGATAGAGATGGATAGCGAAACAGGGAAAGAAAAATGAGAAACAGGGAGAGAAAGGAGGAGTATGTTAGAAGTTTTTTTTTTTGGGGGGGGGGGTGGGGGTTGGTACATTCAATGGTAGTGAAGTGGAAGATATGGTACAGGAAAGAGCGAGCAGTTTCTTTAAAATGACGTTGAGTGTAATACAACAGAGATCAGTGCGTGTTTAGCGGGGCATTGCGTGTTGGGGATCAAATCATTGTATTACGTCGTCGTCGGGCTGGTGTGTGTATACTATAGATTGAAGTATTTTGTCTCATACACTCGAAATTCTCTTCAAATCTTCAAATGCAAATCTAGATTTAATGAAATTGTGGTTCAGAGGCATCAGAGCGAATGTTTTCTAACAGTGTCACGAAATTTGTTTTTATAAACGTATGATACATGTATAAATATATAGATTTTTTTTGTTTTGTTCAAGTTCACGGTTGGGAATTGGCAAACATTATATGCCAGGAAAAGTTTCTGGTTGTACAATACACGAAAGAGAAGAAAAAAAATATCATAGCTCTAAATGTTATGTACGTGTAACCAGATTCCCTTTTCTTTGTTTACATTGTGCAACTGGAAACAAAAGCCACTTCAAGATAATATCAACAGTCTCTGCAATGGGATTCCCAAAATATGCCAATCAAATATGTTCGCTGCTACTAGCTCAGATGAGGTTATATTGTATCACTAACTTAGTCGAAACCAAGAGTAACGAACTATTCCGAAACATGCAACAAAAGACAGTTGAGGACCTTCAATGTATTCAAGGAAAATCCAACATCAATAGTAAGTTGCTCAAAGGGAAGGTAGAATTTGTTTTGATGCAATTAATTAGAACAATATGAAAGTTATGATTTGTTACTGATCGAGGCTGGATTTCTCTTCATTATGTTTTATCACCCTCATAATACACATCAATTTTCTTCAGGGTTCCCACAGAAATTTGAGAACAAAATTTCATGACTTTCCATAACTTTCCAGTACCCATTTTCGCCTTTTTCCATGACCAGATAAGTACCATTTTGGTGTGGGTAACTATATTGCGGCATCCAAGCGGCATACACGTTTGTCAGTTCAAACTGGAAGGCCATAGCCATATACGACCCACACCCATGATAAATTCCAATGACTTTTCATGACTTTGGAAGCTATTTTCTTCTTTATTTTCATGAATTTTCCAGAACTTTTTTTATGTCATGACTTTTCACGTTTCTCCATGACCGTAGGAACCCTACATCGTGGTGTGACCTGTATGTCACGAGTTGAGAGTTATTGTTCCAAATGGAGAATTACCACACAAATGATGTTTGGTTTATTCCTTTTTATCAAATAGTCTTTTTATTCACACTTCACTACAACAGTTTTATGAAGTACAACATTACAAAGAAGCTATTTACATACATATACATCACTTTATTAATTTGCATTATGTTAAACCTAGATATTCACAACTATAGTTCCATTATCCAATATTTGATTGATATATCATTGAATAACAACATATCTTACTGCCACTCCATGATACCTACTACCAGAATATAGTTATCTACTATGGCTCTTTCAAGAATCTTGGTGCATGAGCATGAAAATAAAATTGATAAATTCATCACTTTTTAGGAAACTAGGCATCTTTTCACAAAACAGCTCAAGTACAAGCTCATCAACGTCCCGATTGAAACGCTTGTTCCAGCACAATTCGATGGGATGTTGCTGAACTTGTACTGAAGATAGTTTTGTGAAATGATGCCCTATGTTTTTTTTTTTAATGATTTACCATTCGTAAAGTTCTTATTGCAGCAAAGCAGCTTGAATTCAGTGAAAATCTAAGCTCAAATGTGTCATTACTCATCCTGCTTTCTGATTGGTCAGTTCCAAAGGAAAGCCATGAATACGTGAATGTAACATGCTTGGAAAACAATCTGAAATAGATATTTGAAAGCCATAGCTTCATTGGTTGGCTTGGCTTATTTTACTCTCTGAAATTAACATGCAACTTTTTTGAAGTTTTGATCTAGTGAATGGAACCGAGTAAATCTATGAACAAATACAAATAAAATGATGGGGGGAATAAAACATATACATTTTTAGAATTGAACTTTTCATTTGTTTTCTCATCTTCATCTTTGCCTGAAGAAGGTTTTGCACGACAAATAAATTATGCCACAGATATGACGCCGTATAGACCGCCCTTTTTTTAATGTGTAAATAAATGGTAACTGCATACAAACCAGATCCTGCACGTCTTCACTGAGCTCTGTGTTATAAGAAACAGAAATGTGAAGCATATTACACTCAACATCAGCATAAACAACGCCACGGTTTTGCCGCATCATAATATATCTGAAGGAGATTTAGGATGGCAATTAACTATTTCATGCCCATCACACGTTGCTAATCAAGAAAGGTTTGTGTTAGAATATTTTGCACTGAGAGCCAGAAAGGTATGTACCTGATCGATACAAATTGACATCGAATCAAATCAGATATGAGTGAAATTACAAATTCTCCCCCTCCCCCCCCCCCCCCCTTTTTTTTCTTCTTCTCTTGTACACTATTTGTGATACATTCTCCTGCTGCGATAATGAACTGTCCAAAAATAAAAGCTTGGAGATACTATACAGTTTTATACGTATATTTTATAACGCTTGTCTTTATTTAATACATTGTGTTTGATTTATACGGAAACGGCAAGCAATTAGCGATCGAGATAGAGGGGGGAGGGCTATGAAATAAGGGTGGAGGAAGATGATAAGAATATTTGGAATGAGAGGGTGAGGGTATATGAGAGAGATTACGATGACGACGATGATGATGATGATAGTGATTGCATTGATCATGATAATGGTGATAATGACGATGCTACTGAGGATTATATACTTTAAGATGATATTATGATGATGCCAATTATGGTGATGGTGATGGTGATAATGAAGATGATGGGGAGTATCATAATGATGTCAATGGTGATGATGGTGATGATGATGATGATGATGACAGTAGTAACTATTTCACAAATTCTCATCAACTAAATTGTTGATTGCGGGTTTTCTGAACTCGGATGTAATTAATGCACCAATTAAAGCAAGTTTTGCGTTCCAATCAGCTCTCCTGGAAAACTCGGCCACGATTTCCACCGAATCCGAGTTGACTTAAGACGGAGCCGATATATACCCGGATCCAAAGAAATTGTATCTATTTTACTGACGTAGAGCAATAGATAAAGGAGTGAGCGTTTTACCTTAAGGCGAGAGTATAGCCGCGCTTTTATTGATTTGTGAAATAAGACATGAGACCGAACCCCCCCCCTAAATTCTGATTTAGAGCCCAGGGGCCTGTTTCATAAAACATACTATCAATAACATGCAGGCCTGATAATTTCCGATTTAAATCGGTTTCCCGATTATTATTTTGTCCCCGATTTTTTGTCCCCGATTCCCCCTCCCTATCTTACCCCTATTTTCCCCTTTTTTGCCCCAATTTTCTTACTTACAAGGGGGGGGGGGGGTTAAGGAGTCCAACCCCCATGATAATCTGAATTTTGCGGGGATTGGATACCCCCTTTGTTTTGATCGATAACAATTTGTATATTTTGATTCCTTGTCTGACATCAGACTTTGGGTTTTTAGGAAATTAAACATGGTATGGCTGAAGGAGAAAGAAAGGAGTTTACATAACTTATTGGAGTAAGAAGATCCTCTGCACGCTCTGATGGCTTTTATCGTTGTACCTGGTGAGTTATACGTAACTTTGCCATGATCATGTAA